AGGTGACACCAGCCTGTGTTGTCAGACACCACCTTGCATGGTGTCCTTCTGGGAATGAAAGGAATTGCTGCTCCCACAGCTTTGGTGGCTACCAGTCCACTTGCAGCAAGTGGGGCAAGGTCCTGGCACTTCTGGAGACCAGCTGAAACCTAAACCCTGTGACCTGGTGATCTTATGGTCAGCAAGAATACTGATTTTCTACCTGTGTGATGCCGGGGCAAAGACACCTGCTGCCTTGCTGGCTTCACATGGTGCTCTGGGATCTGAGTGAGACGTGGTGCTTGCAGGCTGCCGAGCTGGCAAACAGGGCTTCACACTTCACAAGTTTGCTATTAACTGGGACACAGCATGCAAGCTCAGGGCTGACCACTGTTCTGACTGCAGCGGTGTACCAGGCCTTCAACAAGTTGTAAAGGCATGTCTATGGGTGCATGGAGGCTGAGATGTGATGCAGGGTTGGCCTCCTAAGGTTAACTTTTATCAGGCTAACCCCATGCCTTCCTTTGGAAAGGTAGCTGATTTCCTCAGCAAAGAGAGGACACTGTGATGAGAGGTCAGTTTGATGCTGCATTATGTCAGAAGTGAGTTGTTTTTCTGGAGAAGACACAGCATAGCCTAGGTGTTGCAGGTGAAGTGGGGCAGTGGTGGTGGGAGGTGTTGAAAGATGAGGTAACTACTGAGGTTCCTTGGAGGTGATGCTGGCTCATGGGTTTGTTAAGGACACTGGCACAAAAGGCAGGAGCATGCTCATGGGCTTCACTGCCCGAGCTGTGGGACCACAAATTGGGTTGAGGACAGCCAATGGGAAGAGCTACAGTAACAAAACCAAGAGACAGTCTGTAATGCCAAGTGGGTTGAATGTAAATGTGGGTGTAATGGGACTTTTGCTGCCTGCTAGGAAATCATGTCCATTGGAAATGACCTGGTGAATAGAAATGCTTGATGCAATGCTTCATAAAGGGGTAAAAACAAACCTCCAGGCTGATGAGGCTGTGATAAAGGCCATTGTGATCTCAGGCTGCAAGTCATGGTGTTTCCAGTGTAAGTGGGGAGCTGCTCATGCTGTTATACAAGTGAGACCTCCTGGAGACTGCTGTGTTTTTGGTCACCCTTACTCAAGAAAAAGGGACTTAAATATAAGTAGGCTGATGAAGGAAACAGAGAGCCATTTTCTGTGTGTCTGTCACAGTAGTCCTTCTTGCATAGATCACCAGGCGTAAGTGTCTGGGTCTGAAAGCAGAAGCAAAATAACCTCTCTGCCAGGACTCTGCCTGAGCAATATATCTGCTTCACTTCTGGGGCTTGAGTTAGTATCACTTCAGGGCACTTGAGACAATTTGCCTTGCACTTCACTGGTACAGATGCACTGCCTTAGAAGAGCTGGCATCATGTAGCTTATAAATGATAGTTGGGTGGAACTGGTTTCTGCTTGTAAAGGAGGGAGGAAGAAGTGCCGGGAAAGAAAAAGAGCTGCTTAAGCAAAAACAGTTTTGACATAAGAGAAAATGGGTGTAAAATGCTAGTGAGTATCTTCGGGTAAGAAATGCGAAGTGCAGCGTTTCAGTCTGAGTTGGGAGAGCAAAGCCTTACCTACTCCCAGGGTGGAATTTGATTGTCTGTAGAAGGCATGGTATAATTCAGCTCTGCAGAGCAAGCAAGGAGACCTGGACTAGCAGGACCCTCCAAACATACAAGAAGTATGAGAAGGGAGTGAGTATTTAAACAAACATGCCCTACCCTCCATCCTTCACCCAAAAAATAAGCAAGCTGCCTCATCTGTGTTAGCAATGTGTCTCATATGGTCTCTATTAGAAGTTGGATGTGAGTCTAGGTGGATATGCACGTGGTGAGCTCTTCAGGATTTGTGAAGTATGGTATTGCTCTTGAAGCTATTGGGTCTTGCAGAAGAGCAGTTTGCCTTAGTAATAACTGAGGAATGCCACAGGAATATGTATTAAGAGATGTTTACAGGGAGGAATAAACTGTAGTCCACTGACTGTAATTCATACCTCAGCACCTGATTGAGGAGACCAGGGCAGGGCTGGGAGCTGTCACAGCTGTATTTGGTGTGAACCCAGCACCCGCATTCCTGCTGGGTTAATGAACCGAGGCAGAGGAGGAGGGAAGGTCTCAGTATTCAGCAGCAAGTGGGAGGATTTAAGATTTCTAGGGCAAGCAAAACCCTGGAAGGAAAAGAGAGGGAGATAGTTGAGACACTGAAGGACATGAGAGGGACTTAACTTTCACGGGTGGAGTTTCTCTGCTTGGTTGGTTTGCTTTCCTGTGCAACCACTGCCAATTTCTCAATCACAGCTTGACTCCTTGAGCTTTCAGAATAAGATGCATTTCTGTTTTGTTTTTTTAAGTGGGTTCAGGTGAACCCAGCCAGTGCAAAATTACACTATTCTTTCCAAAGCAATAGGGAACCAAAGAAAATGGTTTTCCTGTGTATCTTTGAGGTGCCTGTAAACCAAGACCGATTTGTCACTTCTAGGAGCAAGGATGCAACTCCTGCTAAGTTGAAAAAAATCAGAGAAAAAAGGGTAAAAGCCATTTCTGGAAATCCCTGAGAAAGGAAGGGTTTGTGTAGCTTAAAGGACCCAAAGTCCCTTGCTGACCTATGCACCTACTTAAAGATGTATTTCCCTGCATTTCACTATGTGAAGCAGCTGCTGGGCTTGGGGGATTATCCTATGTGTAAGTGTGTGCTTGTATTTCCACTGCTGCTTCTCATCTCTCAATTTATGGGTATTGTATTGTATGTCTTGTATATTGTATGTGTGTCAAATGTACCAAAGCATAGCTGGCTCAGGAAGCTCATGGGCTTTGTTTGGGGAGGCTGGAATACAGGTTGTGGAGCTGTATTTACAATCTAGTGTAATGTCACTTCTAGAGGGGCTTGGCCATAGAGAGGCCCCCAAGACCCCCATACCCCAGAGCTGAGTCATCAGAAATTCATGCCTAAGCATGGTTCTGGGAACAAGCTTGGATCTTTTTCTGTCTCTTCTAGAATGCTGCCCACATGGCTTTGAGTGTCAAGTCAAAAATAACCTTGACTTTTTTTAGCAAACACAATCAATAAAACAAGAGCCAATCTGGCCGCCGCCTCCTTCCCAGCTGTGGTTGCTCCATCGCTCCTGGCTTGGGACTGCTCCATCCCTCCCTGAAGGTCATTGCTTGGATGTTGTAGATTCAGCATGTCCTGGTGGTAAACCCACATCATCCCGTTCCTCCTTTTCCCCTTGCCCTTTCTTCCTCCTGGAGGAGCTTCACTTTGCTATGTAGGAGTTGCAGACGGGCAGTATTTTCAGCCTGTGTTTGTAGCCTTGCTCAGTCCTGCAGTCTTGTGCCCCAGGACCTGAACTGGCAGTCCTGCCCTGACTCGAAAAGGTTTCACTGAGCTGTTGGAACTCCTGACTGACTCCTCCCAGTCTGTGTTCTGTTCTGCAAATGTTCACAGGGGCCTTAGATGTTGGCAGGGAATATGAAATGGCTGTAATAATGTCCTGTTTCTCATTCTGTCTGGGACACAGGCGATCCAAGCCGATGAGCAGATCATTGAGGATGAACCGTGACTTACACTGTCATGCAGCGGCTCATGCTGCGTCCTTGCACTAACCCCTCTGGGCATGCAGGCAATTATGGAACATGTGGAAAGCAGAGGTGACTCTTGTGGGTCTCTGCTTTTCTTGGATCTGTATGGTGAGAGCAGAGAAATACACTGAGATTTAGTCCAGGCTTTGTATTTTTCTTTTTTGAGCTGGATGTTATTTGGGATGTGGCTTAAGGAAGTCCATGCACTTCTGTCACACTAATTCGTCTGCTCTTGTGCAAGCACAGGGTGTAGCAAGTGCTGGAGGAGGAATGTGTGGCCCCTGCAACTGCTCTAGAAGTGGTCTAAGATCTGTTTTCTACTTATTCACCCTCTGAACCACCGTGTGGGGTCCTGGAACTTTCTTGCCTAGAATAATAGAATCACAGGATAGTTCTCAGTGTTTTCTCATCACTCCAATCCTGCATCACTTGGAGATGTTTCCCCTCTCCAGGGTCAAGTGCAAAGCCAGCTGTTGCACCCAGGCAAATGTAAGGTTGGGTGTACATGTTCAGAGACTTCAAAGTTGGACTTCTTTCACGTATTGTCCAAGGGGAACATGCCAGATGTTTTTCCCCCTTTCAGTTGACTTTTAGAGAGGACCACCTCCACCTGCTTTTTGGTGAAAGCCTTCTTGAAAACGTTTGTTCTTTCTGGTGGAAGGGTGTCTGAGTTTAAACTGGAGAAAGCCAGAACTGCCCAAGGACTGCCTGGGGGATGAGGACTGAACTCCTTTTACTCGACCCAGCATTGCAGCCTTTTAGCAGAGGCCCACGGCAGCAGCCACACTGCTGCCAGCATCACTCCTGTGCTGCTGACAAGAGGGGACCCTGTTCTCTGGGACTGCCGATCTGTCACCTTCCCCCGGCTCTAATATTTACTGAAAATGATCCTGTGGTGACAGATCTATTTCTGTTTTTGTTCTCTATAACATACCTGCCAGACTGCCCCAGGCGACTGAGGAATTTGTAATAAAGGCAATGTTTCTAAACTGAGCTTGGTGCTCTCCTGCCAGCAGCACTTCCAGCCGGCAAAGACTAGGGCCCTGTTTATCCACCCCAGTTAGAGACTGGATAAATATATGACTTTTCAAATTCAGGCCCTAAGTTTTTGTTGAGAGGTTCTGTTTGCTTTCACTATTTTGTGTAACCCATTTCAATCCTGTCTTTGTTCACTGATGTGTGCAGTGAGGGGCAGTGACTTGGGCAAGGATGTTCAGTGGCTCGGTTGCGCATTCTGTGCTTGAAAATGCGGGTAAAACCACATTATTTGACTTTTCCAAAATGCTGGGAAAACAGAATGGGGCTGGGTGGTAGAGCATGACATTCCCCCTCTGTGTGCCATGCCCTGCACGAACAGAGCAACCATCTGGTTGTGCCACAGCTGAGCCTTTCCTTCTTCTCCACAGACACATAGAGAACTGGAAGAACTTGCAGACACTGAACGCCGTTGACATGGAGCTGTACACAGGACTCCAGAGTCTGTGAGTATGTCCTGCGCATCGGGGAGGGGAATGGACCTGGGCAGCCCCTTCCTTCCAGCAGAGCCATGGCTTCCCTCCATCTGCAGTCTCCACGCTGTCAGTTTAACCTGCTGGATCTGCTGTGTTTTGCTGTGAGACTCCACAAAATGGAGATGAAGGGCTTTTTGGTCTTTGCTGGGTCTGTGAGAAGGAAGATTGCTAGCTCCTGACAGCTCTGTCAACACACATAAGCCCTGACCTCTCCTCTCCCCTGCTGTTTTGGTTCTGGGCTTATATGTTGTTCTGACTCATTTCAGCCCCACAATGTGAAATTCCTGCTGTCTCCACCAATCCTTCATTGCTGGGCTGTTGGTCCTCATTTAGAACAGTTACCATCACGGTGGTGCTGTACAATAAGGGAATTGCATCTCCCTGCACAGCTCTCTGAGCGCAGGGAGAGGTCAATTGTGTGCGTCATGGAAGGGAAATTGAGGTCCATGAGATTGAGGGGACTTGGCAGATGCTTGAGAAGCCTGGCCAAGCAAGGATACCACCCAGTCTCTTTATTCCCCCTCCTACATACTCCTGGATCTTGGGAGTGCCCTGGGTGCTGCTTGTGTGAGATGCAGAGTGTTGCTCAGGGATAATCAGAGACTCTAATAATGTGTTTCACTGGGAGCTTTACATTAAGTACAGCTCCCATGTGGGCTGGAGGAGGTGTATATGGCTGAGCACTCAGTAACCAAACTCCAGCAAGCTGTACTTTTAACACACAGACCCACTGTAAGCAGGCTTGCTGCTGTTTTCATCTCCCCTAACAAAGCAGCAGTGGCAGCAGATATTGAGAGCTTTTCTAAAACAGGGTGTGAAGAGGATTCCCCCTTCGATGTCCAAAATTCCCTGCATAAAATACCGTTCCTTTTCAGAGCTGCAAGCAGAAGTGTTTTTCTTTTGGGTATGAAGAGAGGAGATGACTTTGTTGAGGTTTAGGTTTGCTTGTGGCAGTGTTGCTTGTGAAGATGGAGGGAGTGGAGCAGGAGATGGCCTGTGGCACCTCAGCAAGCCTTATTGGAGCAGAGCCTTGCCCAACAGCTGCTCTGCACTGAGCCTGTGCTGTCACCGTATCAGATGAAGCTCAAAAGCTGAATCTCGTCTTTGCTCGTAGCTCACAGAGGCTGCCTGGGGACAGATGTGCCTCCCAGGGGTGGGAGGGGGGAATCGAGGGGTCTCAGGTGCTGAGCAGGGTTTTAGAGCAGTTGTCTGCCTTCACTCCATTGCTGCCCTTCTGCATCTCTCTGCAGGACAATCAGGAACTCAGGACTACGAAACATCCAGCCACGCGCCTTTGCCAAGAACCCTCACCTGCACTACATGTGAGTGCCAGAAGCTCCTGTCCCCTTTTCCCTCTGCTCCCTGTGGAAAGGCGACTCACAAAGTGGATCTCCAAAGTACCTGTTGGGGACGGCAAGGAGAGGGAAGCAAAATGCTGATGGGGAAAGAGAGGCAGAGGTGGGAAAGGGCAGGAGAGGGAAAAGCCAATGTGCGGGGAAGTGAAATAGGCTGCTATGCAGGAATGGGGCGAGCTCCCGCTGGGCAGCTGATGGGTTTGGGTTTCTGATAACTGCCCTGGCTTTGATTGCCGCTCTAACGAGCACTTGCATCGTTATCAGCCTTGCAGCGGCTGGTGCACGTTTCCCTCTCTGCAGAGTTTGGGAGCGGCCACCAGCCCCAGGGCACAGCCAGAGCCTGCCCCGCTCGTTAGTTTTTAACTAAAGGCTGCTTTTCCAATACAAATCCTGGGATGCAGGGGCTGCCAGCTCTGCTCCTTCCTAATTATTGACTTCTTAAACTAATATCTGCACTGGACCTGGGATAGGGTTGTTTTGTGCTAGAGAGGCTGGAGTCCTGTTATCATGGGACATTGCACAAGTGTCCAGCTGCTGGGGCATCATTAGCCAGCAAGTGCAGTGTCACGGGGAATTTCCACATCCTTGATGCCAAGGGCACTGGTTTATTTTCTAAATGTGTATTTGCTTTTCCCGAGGTGAAAAATCAAAGCCTGAATTTCAGGCCACTCTGCAAGGTGCTCCATGGGCTTGAAATATCTTGTCCAAGTAACCGTGTCCAAGATCAAACCCCTCTCTGCTCCAGTGTAGATACAAAAGGTGAAAAGGGGTTGTTGAGAGGCTCAGTCCTTGGGCATGAGCTGATGGGCTGGATGGAGAGTGTGTATGCCTGCTTTTTGGAAACTAGTGCCAGTGGCTTCTTCCCTTTAAAAGTGTGTCCATTTGAGTCTGCAGATGCATTGGGCCATCGATACAGACTTGTTCCTGGGGCAAGTAGATAAATGCGACCTGCAGAGCAGGATAGATTTGTCTTTTGATGTCTGCTCAGAGATGATGTGAACTGAAAAACCCCAAAAGCTCCCTTTTTGGAAAACCATTTACAGTTGCTAAGTGACAGTAAAGTACTTGCTAAATAGGAGAACTGCAGTACCAAAGGGCATGAATAGTTGAGGGCATTGTGAATGTGGACTGAGCTTTTTTGGAGTTTAAAGAATTGCATATTTTCATAATAAACTCTTGTTAATGCTGACCACTGGGATTTTCTTGATTTCTACCCTTTGTAATTTTGATTTGAAGCAGATTTTTTGTGTTTTCTGTAGTTAGTTGTTTGTTCATGGGAAGTGTTCTCTCTGAACCACTCTCAATTGATTTTTTTTTTTTGAGGGTTGTTTGTCAATTGTGTAGTTGCTGTTTATGTATCTAGCAGATAAAATGAATAACATTTGATTCCTGATGAAATTAGTTTGGATGTCGTAGGAGTTTAAAAGGCCCCATACACTTGCTTTGAGGCTGAATATGACATTAATGTGTACACAGGCAATTGTTGCTGCTTTTTCCCAAAGTGTTTGTTTTTGTCTTTGGAAATTACTTTTGGGAGTGGAAAAACCCCCACATCCATCTTGTGTCAAGAGTTAAGGTTGGTATGTGGTGATGAAATATGTGTTTGTTTACTGCTTGGTCCATGTAAGATTGATCATGTTCTTAACATCTTTCTTTCCTTGCCTTTTGAAGCTCGAGGCAAGTAAGTATATTATTTGGTTAGTGTTTGCCAGTGAGTTTTGATGCTGTTGCTGGGACTTGGCAGCATGGATGTTTGCAGGGTGGATGTTCCCTGTAGAGGATGCTGGGCACCCAAGGATGGAGACTTAGTGCTTACAGGGTTGTTGACTCCCTCTTCTTCCCCAGAGGCTCTCAGACCACGGTACCACTGCTTCTTTGCAGCCAGGCTGCCTTTCCCAGGGTGGATCCTGAGGCTTTGCACAACCTGGCAGACACCTGGTGCCACCTGGGTTCCCCTCAGGCCTCAGCTCTCTGCCAGTGCATCAGGGTGCCTCCTTGGCTGCTCTGCAGGTGCTGCCTCCCTCGAAGGCCTGACATCTTCTGCAGCCACTGCACGTAGGAACCAGGGATAAAAGGATTAATGGAAATGTCACTCTGCTCTAAGTCTTGGGCTGCTGTAACCAGGTACAGTAGCAGACAGGAGCGAGGGAGACTGTCCCAGTCCCCTTGTGGAAGGGCTACCTGCAGGGCTGGGGACTGGGATGGTGTTTAGGGCTTGTTGAGTTACTGCTACATGTTTTTGCTGCCACTCTGGTTTTCCTTCACCTTTGATGACTGTTTGGATGGTTGCTGGTGGAACTGAGTCAATAAGATGGCAAATGTGCCTAATAAATGAGAAAGTGGTTTCACTGCCGGTGAGGGTTGGCACGGGGAGGTGGGAACCCTGGGCCAGACCTTTGCAGGGTGCTACAAGCTGGGTCTGAGCATTTTTTTTCACATGAAGCTCATGTACAAATTCGGAGGTCTCAAAAGCTGATCTTTTCCCCTCCCCCCTCCTTTCCCATCCTGGGTTAAATCCAAACTTCCTGCTGAACTAAGTTTTTTCCCAGTGCCTTTCATCAAGGTTTCCTCCTCTCAAATGGGCCAGAAGGCTCTGCCTTCTCCCAGTAACATCTATTTCTGGCCCTTCCTCTGTGCACGCGCTTGTCTTCAGACCCCAGCTGTGCAATCACAAGCAGATCACTTATCCCAGCTCTAATTGCAGGAGCTCAGGTTTGTGAGGGTTTGGATGAAGTTTGACTTGGTATTTTTACCCCTTACCCATCACAGAGTCAGGGAGGAAAGACTAGATACCCATGAAGGGGATTTTCAGCATTCAGGTGCTCAAGTGGTAGACCTTAGAGTGCTCCAAAGTGCAGCTGGGCAGGGTCATGTCTGTCCTTAAAGGTTTGAAATTAGCTGTATTAGTGTAAGGGGCTGGAGGTCAACCTGATCACTGGAGTAGCAGTGGGTGACCTGGAGCCAAAGGTTTGGATCTAAAAGTTACATTGGATTCCTCTTCCTTGGATGGGGACAGTTAGTGCTCCATGGCCTTATCTGATTGTTGGTGATGTGAAGCCTGTCACTGCTACAGAGACAATTAATCCAAATCACAACAGTGGATTTTGCAGCATGGATCTATATCTTCTGCTGATGCTTGGACCAAGAGAGTTGAGTCTTTCCAAAACAAGTACTGGCTGGCCGTGGGTCTGATGTAAACTGGATATTTTCCAATGTCATTTTGTGCCATTACTTGAGATCATCTCACTGGGAGAAATTGCACTCGTAGGTTTCTGGTCCCATTTCTGTGCATCTTTGACAGTGCTTTGGCTGTTGCAGGAATAGTCCTGGTCAATTGTATGCACTGCATGTGAGGACCAGCAAGTCCAGGCTGTGGAAGACTTGTAGCCAAGATTTCTGGATGTTGGCGTTAGCAGGCAATGCAGCTGAACCTAGAAAATGCTTGGTATTGACAGAAAACCTCAGTCTTTGGCTTGAGGCTGTACAAGAAAACTTTAGTGTGGTATGGTTCCTAAATTTGAGACATAAACTATCTGAATACATATTTACTATGCTGCTGTGTTTAGCACAGCTTATTGAGGAAAGTCTTGCACGCTCTCAAACTCTCTGTCCCTTCTCCTAATGACAGTGGAAGCCTTTGGCTAATTTATTTAATTTGATAGAGGGGTACAAGTCATGAGGAGATCAACTTCCTACATGTATCATGAAAATAGGCAGAGGCAGAGTAAAAAAAAGTTGTTGTAGTCCCTTGTGGGGAAGAATTCAGCCTTAACAAGTTCCTCATTAGGAACTGGGAAGTCCATAGGGAACTCAGTCTCACAGTGCACCAGGGGCTGATGCACAGGGGAGGACACAGCCTCTGTTTGCTGCTGGCCAAAGTGTGCAGCCTTCACTGGTCGTGGGGCAGTAGAGCTGTGCATGTAGGGAGAGTGAGCTCTCAGCAGGCTGAGCCAGACAAGTTGATATTTGCAGTGCCTGAGTCCCCCTTTAATGGTAAGCAGGTACTTAAGAGACTGATTCCCTCTAAATATTTTCCTGGGTGGCTGTGTACCCAACCAGCCAGTCAGGAGGCACTGCCTTGTATCTGCAGAGGGTAATTGTGCACACCTTATTTATTGTGTAGTAAAGAAAACAAATTAAGGCTGTGTAATTACAGAGACAGGCATGCTTTTAAATAAGGCTTAAGTAGTCAGATTTCTATTTAGAAAATTAATAATTGCCATTTCTGTCTGCATTCAGAGGCTCTTCTTAAACTGTCTTCTGGAGGTTTATATGTACTCTAAATTAGTTTGTGGGCCAGCCCAAGCACAGCTTCTGTCAAAGACTGCCTTCTCAGTATTGCCTGCCAGAGTAAGGATGGGGTTGAGGATCAAGCTCTCTCTTCCAGTCTTCACCCATGGAGACCCTGGAGTGCTTTGTGCTGAGTGTAACTGGTTTTTGAGTATGGTGTGGTCAGATCACCAGCTCTACAGGCTTTTTTATCTGTGTGACCATGTCAGTCCCTTTCTCCCCAAAATGAGGATTGAGGAATAACTGGAAGGTTCTAGCAGGAATGCCACAGGGACCTACTTTGCCTGGTGAAAGACTGAGATGGCTTGTTTTCACGGGCAGACCTGAGCTGTGATTAATCTGTAAGTTGTGTTGTTTTCTGAGGATGAGGTCAGCTTCAGTGTCCTGGTTGGGTTCATGGCAGCTGTGCAGCGATCCTATGAATGAGTGCCTTGGTATTGAATGTAGTTTTTTGCTTTAGATGGGAATTCCCAGAGATATGTTATGGGTTTAGGCTCTGATAGGCAAGATACTAGGCTTCATTCCCTGAAAACTGAGGGGGCTGATGCAGTACTAATTTGGTGAGTTGCCCTCTGCTTTCTTCAGTGCTGCTTCAGGACAGGACTTGAAGCCCTCTAGCAGCTGAAGCCTGTGCACTTTCAAAGGGCTGCAGGCAACTTTCTTGCAAGGCTGGTGAG